TAATTTCGAATATTAAATTATAGTGAACTGGTTCCACGTAAATTATTTTATGTTCTCCAAGGAGCTACGAGGTTCATATTTAATTATATAATATTCAACCGGCAACAATCATGCATGCGGGAGCATAATATTTTTGGAATAATCCCCCAAAAGCAGTGAATAAAGTTGGGTCTGGAAGTTTGCACCTAGGCAAAGCTTGTACTCTTCTTGTAGCTAGATGATGTCATTGTTTATCAACAAATTTTTTTTTATTTTTACATTCTATTCGTATTATTTTTCTAATAAAAATGAAACTCGTATTCATTGAACGGCTTTATTTTTATTAGAAAGATAATACAACTAGATATCAAGTGTAGCAGTACTCCTTATCAACTCCTCCATAGTGGACCTCCTTTGACTTTTTTCTTTTTTAAACCAAAAAAAAAAAAAAGACAACCCATAGCAAATCACGATTTTTCCGCTCATTTCAGGCTGGACCTACTAGGTGGGGCTACCAAATGGGAGAAAAGAACCGATTGAGATTAGAGTGGAGGGCGCAGATGAATGTGCCACGAATCCTTGTACGCCTCAAAAAGTAGAAATTAATACACACAACGAAGCAAAAGAGCACTCAAAGAAAACTTTAAGAATGTGATAATATGATTAATATCTATCGTTAAACTTTTAAATTGAAACTGAGAATAATCTTAGAAACATCATCACATTTCTCAATTATTTATCTAAATTGATATGATAATAATTCACTCGTTCATAATATTTACAAGTTAATTTAAAACACAAGATTATACCGCGTAAGAAAAAAAAATGAGCCGTTGGAAAAAAATAGTCGATGAAAGGCATCATCATCCACCATGCCGCTGATGCCCAATACGACAATACGACGAAGTCGAACCAGTAGAGGGTCTTCTGCATGTGGGAGCTAGAGCGAGCTCGGACGATGCTCATTTCTTCGTCGAAGGTAGGCATCAGGGCTTGAGAGAGGACAAGAAGCCATGGAGGACTTGGACACTGATTCATGAAGTTGGATTGATTGCAGCCATTCCATTAGTGATACGCTGCTGGTGTGCATCATATGTTGGGAGTAACGTTAGGGATATTATGTAATTCAATCACATTAGTCTACTATATAATGGGGCGGTTGATTCATACAATCAATATTATACGCACCACTTGACATATTAGATGTTACACCAAGTACAAAAATATGATTTTCCTATCATTTTTCAGATATAGGTAACAACACAAGAAGAGAGAGGTAAAGGGTAAAATAATTGGGATTCTAGGAGGTGGCATAACTCTTAGCCATTGAATCTAGGTTGAATGGTCCTGATTTAGAGAAGGGTAAGGGAGGGGAGAGAAATGGTCCTTTAAACGTCGTCAAGGCAAGAAAATAAACCATTTTTGTCATATGTGACACAACGGAGTTTATGGTTTGGGGTTCACAAACAGTGATCTTTAGATAAAATTCTGAAATACCAGAAGTTATGAGAAAAATTCTCATTTTTTGATTTCTTTTAATACATGGCCTAAAAACATAATATAAGGCTTGCTCAAGAAAACTAAAAAACAAGGCCTAAACCCTAACAGCACAAACACAATTGAGAATTTGCAAATATTATTGAAGGTCGATTCAAATTCTGGTAACCATTAAAAACAAACTCACGTATACAATGGGAGTAATATTGACATAATCATTTTAATTATTCACAATTTATTTTTATTTTTAAGTGTCAAATAAAATAATCACACAAAATTATGAGGGTGAGAGCCATGCGGGGTGATGAGTCTACGCGCTTAAAGGCGGGGCCTCAAGTTCCTGGAACAACCCTCTCTAGTTTCATTACCCCGCATCCGAGAAACCTTACAGCCTGGCAAATTCTCCAGTCTCGAGAGCCCTCAATGTCTAATCACCAACTCCCACGTGGACGCCTAGGACAGAGAAACCCTTGCTATCTACAGCTGTCTCCCTTATCGTCCGAATATAAATACCACCCCAAACCAAATTCGAAGCATTCATTCACTCTCCCCACTCCCAATTCCCAGCAAAAGCCTTAAATTCTTGCCCCTCGCAATGTATCCTATTTACCACTTTGCCACTTCTCTCTTGCTGCTCATGTTTCTGGCCGAGCCCGGTTTGGGTGCTTTAGTGGAGGAGCAGCCCCTGGTGCTCAAGTACCACAACGGCGCTCTTCTCAAGGGCAACATCACCGTCAATCTCATCTGGTACGGCTACTTCACCCCAACCCAACGGTCCATCATCGTCGACTTCATCCACTCCCTCGCCCCTCGGCGCGGCCCACTCCCCTCTGCCTCCTCCTGGTGGAAAACCACCGAGAAGTACAAGGGTGGCGCCTCCAATCTCGTCGTCGGCAGGCAAATCCTCCACGAGGCCTACTCTCTCGGAAAGTCCCTCGGGAACCGGCACCTGGTAGCCCTCGCCGGAAAAGTGAACGGGTTGAAGGCCATCAACGTGGTTTTGACTGCGAGTGACGTGGCGGTCGACGGATTCTGTAGCCGCTGCGGGACGCACGGCTCCGCCCATGACAAGAAGTCGGCTTACGTGTGGGTTGGGAACTCGGTGGTCCAGTGCCCCGGCCAATGCGCCTGGCCCTTTCACCAGCCCATTTACGGCCCGCAAACCCCGCCGTTAGTGGCCCCAAACGGCGACGTCGGAGTTGACGGCATGATCATAAACCTCGCCACTCTCTTGGCGGGAACCGTAACCAATCCGTACAACAATGGATACTTCCAAGGGCCGGCCAGCGCGCCCCTCGAGGCGGTCTCTGCCTGCACGGGCATTTTCGGAACCGGGGCATACCCGGGTTATCCGGGTCAAGTCCTGGTGGACAAGGCGACCGGGGCGAGCTACAACGCGGTCGGGGTGAACGGGCGGAGGTTTCTACTGCCAGCCATGTGGGACCCGCAGACCTCTGCATGCAAGCCGCTTGTGTGACCGACGTGGCAATCATCTGTGCCGCACGCGATCATGTAGATATTATTATAATATTATATACATATATATATATATATATATAATTACATAATGTGATGATGGGATGGTGTCCGATGAGGACGGGGAGTGGATAGGGTTGGGGGTTTTTGTACACACTTCAAGTTTGTCGTCTTGCGTGACGTGTAAATCAAGTGGAAATAAAGTGGTTATGGGTCAATAGTGCAATTATAGAGAGAGAAAATGTTGTCTTTAAAAGTTAAAGATGAAAGGATGGTGCTCGTTTTCGCTTTACAAGCAAGAGTTTGTATTTTATCGCATAAACAAAAGCTAAATGATGGGTTAGCAACCAGGGGAGGGTCGAAGGTGGCGTATCAAGTCAATAATATATATTTTTATATTATCTTAGTGGTCAATAATATATATTTTTATATTATCTTTGTAATCTTAATATTATAAGTACGAGACGTCGCTCACGTAATTCGGTTTCTTAATAGCCGGACGGAGGGCAAAATTTTCTCACACTTTATTTCGACTCGCGTGTTTAGAGAGAAAAAAGAAAAGAATCCCGTGTAACGCTACTTTTCAACGACACACGGTTATTTTGTTTTTATGCTTAAGTGATAAGGCACCACATTTACTATGGTTAGTTTTTTTGTCGTATTCACTTTAGTCTATGTCAATTTGACTATCCACAAGTAGATTTATTTATTTATTTTATATTTTTCTTTTCCAAACGATAATTATTTAGCTAAGGGAAGCAAGTAAACTTAGTGCCACAACAAACTAGCAATAATATTGTTCAAACTCGTATTTGACGACCTAAGGCCTTTCACTTACAAGTGAAAAAAAATACCACTAAACTGTAGTACTAAGTAATAGTTTGGTACTGAGATGCTTTTATAAAAAGTGGATATCAAAATAAACTGAGCTCAAAAAAGTGTTTGGTAAACACTTAAAAACAGCTTATTTTCACAATTTTGGATGAAAATAAGCTGAAAAAGTAAAGCAACAACAATGAGCTTATTCTCATAGCACAGCTGAAGCAGTTTTTTTTCAAAACACAGCAATACCAAACCAGTCCTAAGTAGCATCACAAGTGGATTCTTGTGTCCATAACAACAACGTTGTAACATGATTAATTAAGAGATTTAGCTATAAGACTTTCATCACGTGAACGTAATACAATATCCTGGTGCCCATTTGAAAATAAACACCTTTACTTTCAACCCAAGACCATAGAATAATCAAACACTTGGAAGACAAAATGCAATGAACATAAACACTAGTACCATGCTCAGCAACTTCTTCAATGCATAAGAGAAGTTTTAGTATATTTGTACCTATGTTTACTACGTAAACCATACCAAGCTCAGCAATTTCTTCCCCCGAAAATACTGGCGTAACTAGCCAATTTCAATTTTTTCAACATTTATATTATAGAGCAACAGCTACAGAATAACAAAAGAACCAGAGGTTGAGTTTTTTGGGTGGACAGAGATGCAAAGTATTAACCAAACATTTCAAGTTCCATACTTATCCAACTACAATTAAAATTCATGCGTTCAAGTAATATATCGTATGAAAAGCATTCTAATTACCAGAGGAAGTGCGAAACAGTAGAAATCTTCTGAACAAGTTTGTAAGGAAGTGGTGATTGACGAATGCATATAGAAATGCAAGTGGTGATTCACAAAATTGCAGAACTGTGAGCGATTAAATACGTGCTGAACACTTCAAACCCATCATACATGACAAAGCATGGAGTACAAATTCGAGCACAAGCAGGAAGAAACAGTGAAGCATGCTGGTGAAAAGACAAATGAAAAAGACGATCAAACTGAATGACAAGGATTTTGATGATTTGAGAAACTAAGCCTTCTAGATTTTGTAAACAATTTCAGCAAGTTCATCGCTTCTGATTAAATTTCATAGCATTCCAAGTAGTCAAGAATCTACTGCAGTGTGACCAAGTGATTAGACAACATTTCCTTCTCAACATTTGACAATCCTATGAAAAAAATTCTGATCAAACAAGAACACCGACATATACAAATCATGATAAAATGCTCAATACACATTGATGATCCCAACTACATTTCCAAAGGTGAGGGCACAGCTCAACGAAGCAAAAGCGATCAGAACAATTGCAGTTAATGCTAAAACACAAAACCAGACAAAGGAGTTCATTACCAATTATAAAAAGAGTCGAAAACCCATTCGATTACTTAACGGGCCTTTTTCTTTCCAGCAACAGTGACCCTCTTACCCTTCAGGGTCCTAGTGTTGTTCTTGGTGCGCTGTCCTCTGCAAGGCAATCCCTGGCTGTGGCGTATGCCTCTGTAGCACTGAATCTCCTTGAGTCTCCTTATATTCAAGGCATTGAACCTCCTCTGCAACATACAAAAAATCCCAATAGAACTTTCATCCAATGGAAACTGTGGCCACATCCCAAGCCAATCAGGCAATCCCATGTGCGAAAGTTATAACCCAGGACGCGCATGATTGACTTGAGATACCGCCAGAATGACATCCCATTATATGAAAAAGGAAACCCTAACAAATTAAGGGTGCATTTTGCTCCACCCACCGCAATTGATTGCGGTTAAACGAAGGTGATCTAATGCATTTGCTACATAAATGTCAAAATTTAAACTCATCTAACGACAATAAAAGTTATGCCAGTGAGCAAAATGATTGTATTTGCAACAAATAAAGTTTGAGGGTTTACCAAATCTCCTTCAATCATGTACTTGGAGACTTCATCTCGGATAATGGTGAGCTCTTCTTCCGACAAATCTTTGGTGATTTTGTTCTCCATGTTGAGGTCGATTAGGATTGTTCGTGCCCTAGTACGCCCAATTCCATGAACGTACTGAAGAGAGTACTCGACCCTTTTGTTGTTGGGGATTTCAACTCCGCCAACACGCACGCATTTGATGCTCAAGCCACCAACCTGCGCAAAATCAACGAGACCCATGAAATTTTGAGGTCGACCCATGAAATTCTGAGGTCGACCCAGAATTTAAAACGTGAAATTTACCTGATTGGGGGGTCTGATTGGGAAGGAGAGGCTGTTGGAGAGGGGATTAGAGTTTCTTCCATTGCAGATTACAGAGAGGGAGGGTGCCAGAGGCATTGCCAGTGTTTGCGCCATGGCTGTGTCTGAGTTGTGGGAGTGATGAGCTTTGTGTTTGTGTGTGGATGAAGACGATGGGGTCGAGTTATCCTGTTCTGGCCAAATCTCAAGTGCGCAACACAATATATGCGCAGCGTTTCGACACCGTTGGATCAAATATGAACGGTTCTGATTAAGTTGAGATAAAAAGGTTTCACGTGGAAACGTCTGAATACTCGGTGCGGCTGAGGCTGGGGCAGTAGATGTTCCCCTTGAAAACTGTTGGAAGTGGATAAGAAGAGTACGCGAGAACGATCATGTACACAAGGAGCAAACAATCGTGATTAATATGAGGTCCTGGTGTGGTGCCGGCCAAAGCCTCTTCGACAGTCAACTTTGTATAAAGGACTAGGCATCTTAGTCTGATTCGGAGCCGTTAAGTGAATGTCGGACTCATGAAGCAGTTGTATTCCGGTTCATCATTCGGCCAGTAAAATTCTTGATCCCACAATGAAAAAGAATTGAAATCATTTTGATTCTTGTGTTTTCGGCGTTTACTAAAATATGGGTAAGATAATTATTTCACTCATCATCTAAATTCAAGAATCGGATCGACAAGAGAAACTAGTTAATCTTGTTCTCTTTCGTTACTTCTCTTATTATTTTAGTTTTACGATTCTTTTCTTTTTCCATTTCTGTTAACCAAGCATGCCTGGATTTGACCTATCCGCTTACAAAAAATGAAAAGAACTGAAAGCGTTGGCTTTCTGTGGCTTTCTGTCGGGGTGGAGTTGAATCACTGAGAGCCAAGGCCAAACGGAAGCGCAGCAGAAGCCTGAAATTAGCCTACATGTACAGCTGAACATTTCTACAACTAAATTTTCTAGCTTTGGAACTCCATCCGGAAGGTGGGAAATTTCAGCAGGGCACCTGTCATGCTCCAAACTCAAATGCTGTCCTGCCGAAGGTACTTCTCAGATTGCTCCTAATTTACTGCAGTAAAGGGTTAAACTTTTCCCCAATTAACTCACAGAGGTTTCCAGGTTCAACCTAATCGAGATTTTTCTGATGTTTTATCTTTACAAGAGTGCCTATGTAAGCAGAAATGTTCAGTGACCATATCAAACACCAACTTCGGCGTGTACCCTCGTCCAAGCAAACTCAAAAAATTGTCTGTGGCAGCTGTTTGTGCCCCTATAAGTTCTTGAACTGCCAGAATGAAATTCAAAGGTATAAGACCGAACTTTCGGAAAATCTAGTTCCCTACGAAAACTGGATTAGGCAGCAGAGCAGTCGCTTAGCAGCATTTGTGTGTACGGAAATGTAAAAGTATTGTCTACAGAAGTAGGCATGAAATGCTGATTCTTTCATAAAACTGAAAGGAAACTTCTCAATCACAAAGTTGTAGGGACGACACGAGAAATTTGTAATAACAAGACTTCTTGAATTTGATTTCACTTCTTGGTGGCAGACCCCCTCGTCAATTAAATCTAAGAGAAGTTCACTCGATATTTGAAAGCGCAAGCTTTGGTGTTCACTTTGATTTACCGCCAAGCTTGGAAACTGATGGTTACCTTTTGATCGAATAGAAACCAAAAGAAACTTCTCAGAAAATTCTTGAAATTATAATATCCAAGAGTTGGTTTAACATAAAAGTTGGCAAGGTTAAGAGAGATGGGTGAGTGAAACTTTGAGGATAAGTAGTAAGACATCTAACAACCATGGCTTCAAAACTCAAAAGTTGTGAAAAGAAGCTGTCTTTCTGTTTCCAAACTGACGACTTCTTTTATACTGACTACTTATTCTTCACCTTGTTTGATGATGCAACTGCAATCCGTGGATTAGCTTTCCTAGTCCTGGCATTGGTGCTGGTGCGCTGCCCTCGGCAAGGCAACCTATCGATGTGCCTGATCCCCTTGTAGCACTGAATGTCCTTCATTCTCTTGATGTCTCTCTCGACAATAGTCGCCTGAAAAACCCCCGAAAAACCCAAACCTGTTAGTGATGCAAGTAGCACTAAAATAGAGGGAGAGGAGGGCGAGAAACAAAGAGAGCTATGTATACCAATTCCCTTCCAACTAAGTACTTGGAGATTTCATCGCCAATGGCAACAACTTCTCTTCGGGTCAAGTCCTTGGCACGTTTGTTGGTCATGTTTAGCTCAGATATGATCAAGCCAGCCCTGGCTCTGCCGATCCCACGTATGTACTGAAGCGCATACTTAAGGGGCTTATTGTCTGGAATCTCCATTCCTGCTTTTATATTCAGGCATTGCACATGGACCCCATGAAACTGCAAGTGACACAGGAGGCTCAAATATGATCATTAAACCAACATATGAATCTGTAACCTTTCAAATTTGAAATGCTTAGCATATTGGGGGTGGTAAGAATATCTCATCACGATTTTTGGATCTTAGGGTGTTGTTACAATTTCTAATGAAAAAGCAACTAATTCAAAACTGTGAATTAGTTAATCATTTAATCGATGCAGAAATTTGCCATTTCATAATTCACTAGTCAATCATTTCAGTCGATGCAGAAATTTACAATGTGGGAAAAATCTTGCATGCTAGTTGTGGGATTTGAGTGGCCGTTACCGCATTGGAGAAAACCCCTTGGTCAATACAAAATCTCAGATAAAGGGGTGACCCTAGGCTAACAAGGGTCCCCACTTTGCGAGGGTCAGGGTGGGGCAAAGAGGCTGTTTTCACAACTCAAACCTGTGACCTTTCAGTCACAAAAGAGCAACCTTTCCGTTGTGCCAAGGCTGGCCCGCAATATAAAATCACAGTTCGGGGACAAATTTTGCAGGATAGCTGCGAGATGTGAGTAGCCGATTGACGGACCAATTGGTCGGCTGATCTCACCCCGCATTGGAAAAAACCATTCAATCAACAAAAATTCTCCAATGCATGACAAATCTTAGTAAAAAAACCAACCCCACGAGGCATGAGTTGTTTTTTCTTCACTTAGATAATTTTACAGCTACCAAATAAGGGACAATTTCAGACCCAAAAAATAAAAACCAGAAGAGGCAACCAACAATTCATGAAACCCCAGAAAAATTCTAAAGCACCATCTTTAGTACGAACATGATCCACAGTCATAAACCCTAAACCCTAAACACAGTTTGTTTGAATTCAATAAAAGAAACGATTCGTCTGATAAAATTAAGTTTTTTAAGGTATTCGAACTTACCGATACAGATTGAAGGAGTCGACGACTCGCATCAGAAACGGTTGCGATTGAACCGCGTAACCCCAGCATCATCAAATGATCAATTGGTCGCTGGATACTTAGATTTTGCCACAGTTGCAGAATGCCAAAGGAAAACTTCCAGTCAAACCAACACTAGGGATTTTTGTCTGCCAAAATAACCGGCCTTTATCTATTTTTCATTTGGGCTTGGCCCGCTTCTATGTGCACAGAAATTTATCAAGTTATCCACATCATTTTATTTAAAACTTTCCACCTTATTTTTGTACTTTGTTCACATAGAAGTTATGGTCACATAGTTGAGTTTGTTTCACGCAATTATTTTAGACTGGACTAGCTTTAGGATTAAGTTGGATTGTCTTAGACTAGACTAAACTGGACTAATTTAGTGAAGCGTTTGGTATAATATCGGACTAAAAAATTGAATATAAACAAACTATAATATTATGTCATTTAACACTTATCCAATAACATTTAATTATTTTATCTAATAATATTAATTTAACCATTTTCTTTCTTTTTTCCCACTCTACCTCTCTCTGGAACCTCCACCCATCCATTCTCTCCTACTCCATCCATTCTCTCATTTTCTCCTTGTATTTCTTGCAAAACACAATCTTTCAAAACAAGGTCATGGTAGATCTTTCAAGACAAGTTTATCCGTTTCACCCTCTTCCCGCCGTTAGGTATCTTCACCTTCCTCACCTTTTTTCTCCCAAAATTTTTTGAATCTCTTTGCTCCCTCTGATACATGCGTTGGCTTCTCCGTCTACAATTCCAGAGCAAGATAGCCATCTCAGAATTTTATGGGAAAAATGAAGAATGCGTGAAGAATGCTTGCTGATCAGCTTCTCCCATTGTTGTTATTGTTTTGCATTTTTTTTTTATTTTTTTAATTTTGGTGTTTCGATTTTGAGATTTTGGCAGTGGGAGAAGCTGATTTGGGGGTGGGTAAACAGAGACGAAGTAATGTACAAACGATGCAGTGTAAAAAGGAAGTAGATTTGGAGACGGGACTAACAATCCCATACATTTTGGGGGGACTCACTAAGACTACCTAGCGAAGGACTTAGTTGGGGCAAATCCGACTTAGACTCATTAATGCTAGTCCTTCACACCAAACACGGCTTAGCAATTCCAGTTAAGCCAGTCCGGTCCAACAAAGTTTAGTGAGGGCAAACAAACGCCCCCTTATAGTCTAATAATATTTTTCTTTCCTTAAAAGAAAGAATTTCTAGGCTTAAATCTCGAAAATGATAAGTTTGATATCAATATATTTTTTTCATACTTAGTGTAAATCTATCGTTATATAAAACAATAGCAAAGATAATTTTGTACTGTAGCTCAGGGTTAAGGTCGTATCTAATGGAGAGGCTAAATGTCCAAAAGTCAAAAAATGGCTTGATTTGTCCAAAAACTCATCTTCAACTGATGGTTAGGGTATAATTCTATGGAGCTTACTAGAATATTATTTGGCCAAAGGGGCATTAGGCTGGCTAAATGTAGCCCCCTCTTAGCCTGTTTCTTGGGGACCAGCTCCTCAGTTATAATAATTGATTCAAATCCAACAATTAGATTTGAAAACATCCAAAGATAGTTTAATTAAATTAACCAATAAATTTAAACTTAGAACTAACAAATTATTATAGGATATGTTTAGCCTCTTCGATTGTAGATGATATATGAGTATGACCTGACATAGTTCATTTAAGATAATTTTTTTTGCAGGGCTATAATTCTGGACGAGGCTATGTTTAGTCATTTCGCTTGGAGATAGCCTAAAGAGTCATAACCTAATTTTCTATTATAAATTTGTCCGATCATTTTTTTCTTTTATACAACTCATGAAACATTTACTTAAGGAGTTGGAGATTTGAAATTACATCACTAAACGAATCGCTAGTGGGTTCTTAATTTCTTTTTAAATCCAATTAAAGGTAAAACAAACAAATATAACTCTCCATATGATTTCAAATCAGTCTTAAAACTTGAAAAATACTTTCTATCACATAAGGAGAAGCATTGGGGTAAGTTCTGCCTAATATGGTAATTATAATATTATTACACGCAAGATATTGTTCGAAGTACGTGTATATATATATCTATCTACTCGCACGGCTTTATTTGTATTGCGTCATACCTTGGAATTTGTCTGTCGTAAAAACAATACATAATATTGATATTATCCTAGTGGTTCTCTCCATGCACGGGCGTAGATGAGGGATTAACCAATACTTGCAGGTTTCGCTTGGTAGTCATTGACAGAAGGGCCGTAGTACTAGTCTTAACCTTCTCTGTAGTCTTGATGATAACCAAGAACATAACTCGATATAGAACTACCATCCCGAACAACACAGCAACATTCACCCACTTAGAATATCTCATTTCCACTTGCCATCTCTCTCTCAAAATTTGTTCGCCGCTGATGAGTGGTCCTCCGGCTTCACTTGCTGGAAACATTGTTCCTTGGAATTCATTTTTGAACAATCCCTGGTATGCATACTTGTGGAAGGCAATGTAGTACATTGGATACTTCCACACCGGCGTGGGAAGATCACTTGGTAATTGGAAGAATCCACCACATAACATCAAAAGACCTTGAATTCCAGCACCAGCTATTATTCCCATGAGGTAATTGGGCACAATACTAGCAACTATCATCATAAGACTCTCAACCAACATCATGCAAGCAAGCAACACACAAGAAAAGTAGACAAAGTGTTCCAATCCGGTATGAAGTCCAGCAAGGTAATAAGTTATTGCCCCGGGAATCACTGAAATCATTATCAAGAAAGGCACAGAAGAAAATGTATTGCCAAAAGCAAATGCACAGACACCATAGTGCCCGTTCAGTCTTTCTCGTTCAAATACCTGCATTTACAACAAAAAGTAGAGTTTAGGAACACTAATTTTAACATTGATCGCTAATGAAGTATTCTAAACTAAATTTATTTACCTTCATATCTTCCACAAAGGAAGGGAATCCACCAATGGCCATGAAAGTTAGAAAACTAGATATGTACGTGAGCAGCAAGACTCTTGCCTGCAACATACGAATGTTATGTACTAATTAACTGCCTACTAAGGGGACAATTTCCTTGTATACATAGTACATATATAGATCTCTCTCTCACTTACCTGAATAGATCTATAACCATGTCCAAGGTCATGATAGATAGTACCGAGGCCTAGGGTCATGGAGATGTAGATAGCCAGGCGCAACCAATAATAGCCTCGATCTCTATGCATGTTCACGAAGGATCTTCTTGTAAGTATGAGAGATTGTGTAAGAAAGCCAGCACGGCTTCTCTTCTCCAATTTTTCACCAGAGTCCTAAATTTCATGTGAATTAATGTTAGTCGATGTTGTCCCCCACTAATCCTGGGGTCACTACTTAAATTTGAAATTTTATTCAAAAAGGTTCATACATAATTACTTCTATGAATCTGATTACTAGTTTACCTGTTTACACAGTTCAGCTACTTGTCTTTGAACTTGCTGAAAGGTTTCAGATTCTTTATAGGACGTTATTAGAGTATCAATTGCTACTTCTGTTGGTGTGGTTACGCCTTGCTCAATGTCCTGCAACGTGTTACAAAGTTCTATTAGATTTCTAAAGGTTTATCAGCATGTTATGTGACTTCTTGTTCCCTAAGAGATTTTCTTACCTGCTCAAAATCTTTGTTTATGGTCTTAAGGAAGTGATCCGATGGATTTTGGAGAGTTGGGCATGGGAAACCGGTTAAAGTGAAAAACTGCAACCAAATAAGAACATCAGTACATAGTTAACAATATATTTAAATAACTCTGATTTTCTGAACTTAATTAGAAAGAAAGCCATCTCATATGCATGGAGCTAGCCTTACATGATTTGCTGCAGAAGCAGGACCAAAATAGACAGTTCTTCCAGAAGACAGAAGACAAAGACTATCAAAAAGTTGAAAGACTTCAGAGCTAGGCTGATGGATGGATGTAACAATAGTCCTTGGAGTCCCATCACCTTTATCAAGATTTGCAATTCTGCTCATGACATAATAAGAAGCTGCACTGTCAAGGCCGCTTGTCGGTTCGTCAAGGAAGAGAAGCTTAGGGCGTGTGAGAAGCTCAATACAAATGCTTACTCTCCTCTTTTGGCCACCACTGAGGCCTTTAGCTCCCCAACCTCCAATCCTTGTGTTCATGGCGTCCTGCAAACCCATCTCTCTAATTGTAACTTCTGCTCTCTCTTTCTTCTCTGACTTGGTCATGAAGTCTGGCAGTTGCAGCTGAGCAGAGTAATATACGGCTTCTTTAACGGTTAACGTCGTCATTAAAGTGTCATCTTGTGTGACATATGCCTGTATCCGTATATAAGTAGATGTAATTTATTAAAAAAAATACGATAAAAAGAGTGAAAAATTAAGGGAGATTTCTTCAAAATACTGCATAACATTGAATAATACAAGAATGAATGATTGAGATTGAAAATAAATGATCTAAAATAATGAAAAATCAAATCTAACATCTAAAAGACTCGAAGCATTGAATGATACGTATAATTGAAGCCACACCCACCGAAGTTCCATAAGCTAGTGCTTGTTTATGCCCATTAATTAGGATCTTCCCTGTTTGCCTTGTGTTTGAACTCAATCTCCCTGCAGTGTATAAACATGAGTTGTAAGTTAGAGTGCCTATGCACATGGTGTTTGTTAATAACTCAACAGTCCAATTAATTAATTACGAATTAACTTGGCTCCTCAATGGATGAGCAGGGGTGGAGGGAAGAAGAGAAATTTTTTTTGCAAGCCTTCCCCTATAAACATCTTTCATTATTCTTCTTTACAACCCTTCTCCTATTAGTCAATAATACAAAACACATTATAAATTATCTCCTATTTAAAATTCCAACTCCCATATTTGATTCCATCCCAACACTAATTTAATATTTATTTATTGGACATAAAATCAATAACCTTTAACATTTTGATTTAAAAAAAAAAAATCTCTTAACATTAAACCCGTTCATTTTTAATTAAAACAAAAAACTTCTTTGGTCTTTCTTTCACAGTCAACCCAGGAGCAAGAGTCCAAGACTGAAAAGCAATTATTCTTCCCATTTCTTGAAATTTCATATCTATTTTCATATAAAATTCAAATTAATTCG